CTGAATTTCCTTCCCTCTTCATACTAAAATAATTCCAGATGGACTGAAGCCTTACTGAAAAAAAAAAAAAGAAAGAAAAAGGAAAAGCACAGAATCAGTGGACAGAAACATGGATCAATTAATTTAATATCCTGTAGTGAGAAAATTCCTTCTAAGGAAGATGGAAGATGTTAAACTGAGAAGCCATGAGTAAAATTTTGCTAAGTTTGAATAAATAAAAATGAAAATAACTTATTACCAGAAACAACATATCTAAGCAAATTAAGACAAGCTAGTGGCTGATTTCTGTAATGAAGGATTCATTCAAATGTGAAGGCAAAGACAAACCATGAGCCCATTGAAAAATAGCCACATGGCACACATGAAGATTTCTCTGACAGAGAAGTGCAAATACAGGTCATGAAACATGACAGATGTGGAAAAAGTAAAAGGTGGAGAAGCAAATGGAGAGCGAAATTTTTCACGTAGGGTTGGTGCAAAATAAATGTGTATAGGAGCTGGGGATTTAGCTCAGCGGCACAGTGCCTGCCTGGCAAGCACAAGGTGGTGAGTTCTATTCCCGGTACAGGAAAAAAACAGAAAACAAAACAAAACAAAACAAAAACAAAAACAAAATAAATGTGTATAATATCCACATTTATGGCCATGTGAAAAAAAACTGTACTTCTGGGGCAACTATAAATTCAATAAACATTAGAAAACAATATGACAATGTCGCTCAGAACCGCCAAGTCACAGATTAATTTGCACAATAGTTCCACTGTTGAAAATTTCATGTGAATGTAATTGCTTATGAACTCCAAAGTAGTTATGCAGGGATGTTTATTGCACTATTTGTATTAGTAAAATAATTAGTAGCTAGTTAGATAAATTGATAACACACAATGACAATTTCATTGAAAAGAAAACTGGATCTATATGATTTGAGGTAAATAGATTTTCAGTGACCTTTATTCATAAAAGTGTTAAATCCCTTTAAAATGATTCTTATATTTTTTTCCTCATAAAACACCCAATAAACTGTTTATGCTGAGTACTAAATTAGGCAGATGGGATTTAGGGAAGATTAAGAGGGTACAGACTTTACTTTTTATTTCATACCCTTTTAGATCTGTGTGCATGTATTAACTTTTGCTTAAAAAGAAAAATGCAGGGGAACAGGAAATAAAACACCTCCGTTTCTTACAGAATAATAAATAATCTCCTTATTGTATTATTTTAGGGCACTTTAGCCCTGATGGAAACCTGCCTGTTTAGTGTTGTTTTGGCTTACTTTTCTTCTTAATTTCTGGGTACATCACGACACTTCCTGGCGTAGCTCCCTTCCTTTCCACCTCCCTCTGAGCACTAGCGCCCTCTGCTGGGGTGACCTTGACATTGGACCCAAACTTATTCCAACGCCCATCTTTTTTTTTTTTTTTTGGACTGGGGATTGAATCCAGGGCCTTTTTATTGAGCTACATGCCCAACCCTTTGTATTTTATATTTTCAGACGAGGTTTCACTATGTTGCACAGGACTGGCTTTCAATCTGTGTTCCTCCTTCCTCAGCCTCTCAGAATGCTACGATTACAAGACTTGCCTTTAACTCACATCTTCTATTTCAGTCCCCACTGACACCAAAGCTAGGATTTAATTTTTCCCAATTATAAGCCGTCATAATCCCCTAACTTTTTTGAATCTGTAGGGACACTCTCCTCTGGGGTCTGGTGCTGCATTACGGGATGGCTACTTCCAGCAGATGCAGAAGATCCTAATGTGGGATTAGAGCACCTTGGTAATCCCAGAATGCCTAGCATAGAGCAAGGGTTGGAGGTGACCAGGGAGTGTTCAGGTGTGTTAGCATGCCTCACAGGTACAGCGTCAAGGGAGATGTGACCGTCTGTACTGCCCACGGCATGAGCAGAAACAAGAGCCATCATACATGGTTACTAGGACTAGGAATGGGACAGGAATTTAAAGCACCAGTGACTGTCTTTTAGTTCCCGTGGGCCCGCCCATTCATCCATAAATACCTTCAGGGAACTGGTTCAGGACTGGTTCAGGCACCAAAATCCACAAATGCTCAAGTGCCTTGTATACAATGGCATGTAACCCCTGCTACACCGTTTTACACAGTTTAAGTCACTTCTAGATTACTCATTATACCTAACACAATGTGTTATAGAAATAACCACTGCACTGCATTGTTTTAGGAATAATGAGAAGGCAAAAAGTTTGTTCAGTGCAGGACACTGATGCATTTTTTTCCACCTGTGGCTGGCTGAATCTGCAGTGCAGAACTATGAACACAGAAGGCCGTAGACGGTTAGAAGGGCAAGATACTCAGGCTTTGGATCCTCAACACTTTGGTGTCTGGGTCGGGGGTTCTGTGACTCCTTCAGGTCCACATGGCAGAACTGGGGGCAGCCCCAGGATTGAGACCCTGTCTCCGGGCTCCTGGCGTCCTTCTCCTTCAGTCTCTGGGACAAGAGGCTCATTGTGTACAAAGCTCTCAGCCCGCAAGGTTAAAGTCCACCCATTCAGGTGTCAGCTCATCATGTGGCTAATCTGGGAGTTGCTTTCCTGAGCCGCAGACCCCCTTTCAGAACCTGCCTAGTTGAGATGTCACTTCCCTGACAGTCAGGCATTTAGGCACAGACAGAGAATCACAATGTATTCCCTCCCTTTCTCGAATTTTCCCTAACAATTAACGCCACATAACTTGACACCCTCTTTTCCTTGTTTGGCTTTGTAAACCCTGGTCCTTTTTTCCTATTAATTCCAGACATTAATATTTTCTTTCATGCAACTGCCGCCATTCACCCGTGAAACAGTTTGAACATTATGTAGCTGTCAAGATGCCTGGGGATTACCCAGTATGCCTTGCCTGTGAGAAAGTGACACCACTGAGGCCGAGTTCTGAGATGTTTATTTTGAGAGTACGCTGACAAGCATGAAGGCCTGATCCCAGAGTGGCAATTTCATTTAATTAAAGGCCTCTTTTTATTATAGTTTTTCCTCACTTTATATATATATATATATATATATATATATATATATATATATATATATATACACCAGAGCAGTTGTTAAAGTCTGACTAGCCAGAGGTGTTCTCTCTTGCACTGGTAAGGGGAGGTGGGTAGGCAGATTGCTAGCTCACTACTGAGAATTCACTGGATGGCTGCGGGTGCATTGCATTTTACTGTCCTCTCCAGAACCGCTGCCTGACATGGGGTGAGGGGGTTGCGTTTGTGTCTCAAATGCTAGGCTTCTATTCCTACGTTGCCAAACTTAAAAGAGAGTATTGTGTATGTATATATGTCCATCTTTAACATTTAATTTTTTGTGTAAAATCAGGACCTTTGCGGTATCGTGATTCTGCATTATCAGAATTGTGCCTTAGTGAACCCATGAAGATGTTTTAAAGAATGCACACCCTCTTGCTCCACAGCGATGCTCCTTTCAGCTCAAATAATTAGGAAATCTATTGCATGCATTTTCAGTAATTTTTAATGCTAGAGCTGACTAGAGACCTAAGACAAGATTTGGGAAAATAAAATGATCGGAGTAATTAAGGACGGGTGTCAAGGGTTTGGTAAATATGTGTGGCAGAATGCGCTAATTGATTTTTGATAAAAGATAGACAATAGGAGTCAGGGAGATGGAGCTTTTGCAGATGGGGCGTGGATCTGAAGATGGAGCAGGGGTGGGGGGAAGAGGTGAAGGGGAAAGAAAATGAATGGAGACACGCTCAGGCCCTGACTCTCCGTGAGGATGGAGATCGCTATGTACTAATTCAAACGTGTGCTAATGGAACATTAATACTAATGAAAAAACATGTACTAATTTAGAAATTAAAAAGCAACATCCTAGGGTGACGTTAATATCAAAATTCATTTGAGTGAGCATTCTGAGAGCCTATCTGGGGCGCTGTCTGAGGCATTTGGGATGGATGGGTAAACAAGCGACTCTTAGTCTTTGTTACCTAACGGTAGCTCTGCTTCAAATTAACTATGACATCACTCCCCAAATTGAATTATTTTGGTAGCATCATCAAGCAGCCTCCTAGATGGCCCTTTTTATTGAGTATTTCCAGGTACTCACGAGCGAGTGTATCCCTGGCACCGTGAGATGGTACACACACATGCATGTACCCACGGGCTTCATATAGAATTATGCACTACCTTTGGAGGTATCTTATTTGGAGGTGGGGAGAGCGTCTCAATTGATCTGAAAAATGTGGAGGAGGATCTACCATCAGTACTTCTTTTCGCTTTGGGCACAATACTGTTGGGACATTATTCATTCCTGTTGGCGTCTGTTTCACAGCTCCCCAGGAGGAGCCCGGCAGGCCACTGGTGTCAGGGCTAAGGCCAGCCGAGGGCCTGGTGGATGTGGAGTTCGGCTGACCCCAGCGAAACAATGTACACAGCCTTTGTGCAGGTGCAGGGGCAGCAGAGAACCACAGCTCTGTCGATTTAATCGCTACGCCCCCCAGTTCCAGTCTGAATCCCAGCACCCCATCTTTTGAGCTAATGGCTCTAGAGGTGGATTTACTTATTATCATTATATTTTAAAGTACAGAGTTCTGTTGGCTCAGCCATCTGGCTAAATGCCTGAAAGTGGTTTCTTTCCCTTTTCATGGACTCTGCTGTCCCCAGGAGGGGTGGGCTTCTCCCCAGGACTCCTGACACTGATGTGATTTCTTGAATTTTTGTGGGTTGGAGAGAGGTGACATATCTACAATGCAACCAAACAGAAAAAAGCTCGAGGAGTCCATTTATATTCTACTACTGAAGGCAAAAAGGAATTAGACATCTACCCCCAAATTCTTTTATTTCTCGCTCTCCCTCCTCGACTCCTGGGGCCTTCATCTTTGCACAGCAAGACATTTGTTTTGGCTGGGCTCAGTGAACGGCTTTGAGGCCGGGAAGGTGGAGGCAATCTTATTTAATGGGGAGCAGAGGCTTGTATGTGGACTTCAAACTTCTGTCTTGTTCTCTTTTTCTTTTAAAGGCACCAGTGATCCCTATGTGAAATTTAAGCTGAATGGGAAGACGCTGTACAAAAGTAAAGTCATATATAAGAACTTGAACCCAGTCTGGGATGAAATAGTTGTGTTGCCAATACAAAGTCTTGATCAAAAGCTACGTGTGAAGGTAATCACAGATAGCTTTAAACTCTGCTTTTTTATTACAATTATTTATTTCTCCTCAGTTTCTCTCATGCCCTCTTAAAAAATGCACTTGCCACAATTGGTTCTTTTATTATTTTCAAGGACTCGGTTATCAATATTAGTCGTATAGAAGGAATTCTTTAGTACAATTAAAACTGTATGTCTCAAGTCAATGCAATATGCTCTGTAGAAAAATAAGAATGAAAATATTTCTACTGACTGTATTTAAACTTACTGAATGTGAAAGAATTATTACCAGTAGCACGGTGGTGACATGTACTAAAGCCTTTCTCATTAAGAATAACTTTATACTTAATAGAGCTTCAAGCTACTGGTGTAAGCATCAATTGCTCTAACATCTGGGTTAAAACTGCATGAGATGAGTGCAGAATGGGATTGCTGTAGAATATTTAACAAATTTCTATTTAATTGGCAGATCTGCTCACCGTGGAAAAATACTAAAGTTTAATGAGAGACCATTTAAACTACAGAAAGCGGTCCACTGTGCATAATGTTTTAAATCATATGAGTCCTGCCTTATAAGTATTTTCTGTTATTGTTTTGGCCCATAATATGCAAAATGATTGGATAATTTTGTTCTATGTGTAGGCTTGGCTAAGCTTCTCTTTAACTGTACCTGCAAATTATTATAAGGTCAGAAAATTTCCAAACATTTGTATTTGTTAGTAATTCGATAAATGGGTTTGGTTTACCTTATATATGTGTGTAACTGGCCTCTGAACTTCTTGTAGGTGTATGATCGAGATTTAACCACATCTGATTTCATGGGTTCTGCATTTGTCATTCTCAGTGATCTTGAGCTGAACAGGTATTATATTTTTACCTTTCAGTTGTTATTAATGAATTTTAGAGAAATCTCAAGATGTTAATTGGTTCTTCTTAAGCTCAAATAACAAAACAACCCGAATGAATGAAAGAGTATTTTAAATTGTTATTATACCTGCATATATTTATGATTTTTTATCTTTAGCTGCTAAATAGATTATTGAGACATTGCCTTTTGTCATGTATTCCAAAGTGTCTATTGGCTTTTACACTTCCATTTGCTAATATTCAGGTTCATTAACCTAACATAAAACAAATATTTACATTTTATTTGGATGGTAGGGGAGGCAGATGAGTTAACCAACTGTTGAATTAAATAATACCATACAATTTCTCTGCTCTGCATATGGTTGGTTCATTTTCACTAAATTTGGTGCCTTTTTAGCATTGTGTCTAATCTTTATCCAGAGAGAGACTTCTACCAGAAACTCCTCACACACTTAAGACCACACAGTACTGTGAAGTGCTAAAATTATTTGCTGCTTGTTTTTTTCTTGCAGAACAACTGAACACATTTTAAAATTGGAGGATCCAAACAGTTTAGAAGAGGACATGGGAGTGATTGTGTTAAATTTGAACCTGGTAGTAAAACTAGGTGATTTCAAGAGGCATGTAAGTGGAACACTTTCCTTCTTTGTTAAGTAAGCTCTTTGTTGTGATTGTCCTTTGAATATTAATCTAGCACACAAATGCTATTTGTATAATCATTCTTTTGGAAGAAATATTATTTGATAGACTTAGAGGTTACTTATCTGTAATTATATTCATCCTCTCTTTTGAAACACTAGAAAGAAAATCCATTGAGAAATTGTCTCTCTTTTGGCTAAGGATATGGTTAGTGCTGCTATTATTCAAACTTGTTTGCTGTGGAAGGTTTGCTTATAACAGATTATTTGATATGCACATTCCCTAAGTGTTAAAATTTCTATTTAGTAGTTTTTAAGTCTCAGATGAACTAAGTATTATTCAGTTATGAAAAGCAGTTTTGAGGATTTAATTATTGAATTGCATGTTATTAATGTGGTCAAGTGTACATTTTAACCATTGTGATTTCTTTTTTATCTCCCTTTTAAAAATGTTTAGCTACTAAGTTTTCCATTGGAAATGCTTTTGGGAAGATACGAATTTTAATGTACTCTGAGCTCTTACATGGATATTTCTAGTTAATATACTACCTGCAAGCATATTTATAGCATCAGCAAAACATTCAACTTTGTCCTGATATGACTGAAGTGGTTCTTATGTACAAATATGTTGCTATCAGTCATCTCATGTTATATTCAGGAATTATACATTATAATTCCAAGTATTCAGAAAAGGAATCCATCTTTAATTTTAACTTACTTGAAAGGCATTTTTAAAGCCAACTGATATACTGGGGAAAGAATAAAGTGTGTTACAACTTAGTGTGTGTGAGATCTAGTAGGAAAAGCTTTAAACTTTATAAATTAAGCTTCTGATAATGTTCCCTGAATACAAGGAAAGCAGACAAGTAGAATATTCTTCATTTTGGCATCATGAATCTAACATATTTCTGATGAAAATAATGCCTGAATTACTAATAAATTCACAGAAGCTAACTTAAAGAAATACAAACACTGGACTGTAATGTTTCAGTTCACAGAGGACTGATGAAATATTTGTTTTTTAAATTTCAAATCCTTATGAGAATTTACTTCTTGGAAACAACAGAATAAAACTCATTTACTTTTAAGAAAAAGTGGCACTGTTCACACTGGTCGCCTCTGTAAAAGCAGTATTTCAAGGTGAAAATGCCTTAAATAGATGTTGAAAGTAAACCCGTATTTTCCTATCCCATATAGCGCAGGAGGGCTATTCTTCAACTTCCCCTTAGTCTTGACAGTACTGCTACTGCATCGACAATTCTGCTTTCACTGTCAGTATATACAGAGCTGGATACCAGGGTAAAATTATATATATTGTAAACTATCATTTGCCATGTGGTTGAGCAATTATCAGCCAATGTAGTCTCAAAATTTCTTATGTATTTAAATGGCATCTGTGAAGTTGGAAGCTTTCCCCATGAGAATACATGCACACTTAAATGACTATTCTTGTGAATTTTTAAAAGTGTATTGGATCTTGTTTAGCAGTCATACTGGCCCTTAAAATATGCTCAAATATTAAATTTGGAGTTTTAAAGTAATGGTGTTTTAGTTTCAAATTATTTCAAATTGCAGGGCATTTAATACTAGAAGAAACAGTGATTTATTTTTGTTAATCATTTCATATATTTTCAAAGTTCAATCAGTACTCACAGTCCTCGTTTTATTTAGTTTGCCTCTTTTTCATTTGACTCCCCAATTCCTGTATTGAAGAGTTTTTCAGACCGTTTATTCAAGTGCCTTTTCATTCTTGGTTAGTCTGCCAGTTGTATAGTGTACAAGATGCTTGTTTTATATTTTCATGAAGATGTTATACAGAAAACCCTGCCTGCTCTCATTTTCTCAGACTGGTCATTTTTTATATACTTGATCAAATTACAACCAAAGAATAATTAATTGAAGAGCCATTTATTCTGGGCCATATGTGGTTATTCAACTTACAGTGTATATCATGAGTCCTTTGGGTATGATAGATGTGTCAAAGCATTTGTTCTTTTTATGGAGTTTAAAGTACTCTTTAAAGGCATTTTTATATCAAATTCTGAAGTAGGACTAGCACTTGGAACTGGAGAAGAGAGATTATTTGATTAGGATGATTTGTTTATGAATGACCATTTTAATTTAATCTCTGAAGGAAAAGTTTTAGTTTGAACTCTCTCAGTTTTGTACCCATTTTACTTCCATCATCACTGAGGCAAGTGTTATTTGCTGCTATGGAAGCAAACTGACAAAAATCTTCTGTGCAGAATTTCTCTGAATTTACTCTCAATCCCATGGATTTGTAGGATATAATCAGAATATAAGGCACTGGCTAGAAAGACGACAAACATGCATGTTGTTTTTCCTGGAGAAAAATAAGGTTGTAATTAAAATTATGAGTTTGAATCCCAGTTCCACCAGTCATCTGGTCAGGTCAAATTCACAGAATTATTTAACATCTCTTAGCTACAATTTCATCATGTGTGAAGTTCGGATAGAAACAGTGTCTTCCTCACTCAGTCATGAAAATTGAGATCAAATGTGGTGCTTGGTATGGAGTAGAGATAGTCAATATATGGGAGTGCATAGCTCTGCATAAGTATACGGTACTAGTCATTTTCCATGAAATCTCTGCTTTATTTATCTCTTATGATTGTTATGAAACTCAAATTACTTTTATATACATTAAAGGGCCCCAAGTACTGCTATACACCTCCAAGATGATAGTTCATTTCAGTGGTTTAATTGGGTGGAAGTATTTGGCACTATGAAAAGCAAATCCTAGAAAAAAATCTAATACCCTGGTTATAGTATTCATAAGTGTAAATTGTAGGGTGAATGTTGAGGTCACCATTTCCCTAGGGGAACTATTATCAATGAAGAATATTTTCAGATAATTTCTGTCCCAATGTTTCCAGTTACTGGTCAATGGAGTGTAAGTGGATTTCCCCTGAAGGCTATTTATTTTTTGGTTTCTAATTTATTGGGAGGTCATACTGGCAAAGCAGATAAGTCATTTTCTTAAAGATTATTATTTTTTTTTGTTGTTAAGCATAGTATTAAATGTGGACTGCTCAAGTGGGTTCACAATTGAGTTGTAATCTCCCAAATTTATATAAGTTTTAACAGCCAGTTAGCTGGTTAGCCAGAGTAAACCTTGGAGGGACTGGAGAGTACAGGAGTAATGAGAGGGCTTTGCTCAGAGAATTTTAATTGTAGAAGAAATTCAGCATCAATGCCTGATGAAGGAGAGACCAGAGGAGAGCAGAGGAGAAGTTGCTTGCTGTTCACAATTTTTTTCTTCCTTTCTCAGAGCAAAAACATATTTTTCTTAACTGGGCAATAACAATTTAGATTTTGTTCTATTTTTTGAATACTGGGTATTGAAAATTTAACCTAGGAAAGTACATGGAATTCTTAAACTATAGAAACCTAATCATGAACCCACAGTGGTCATGAAGAGCATTAACATTTCCATAACACTATCTAAATATTCCAAATAGTAGAAAATTGGCATTCTAGTTTTCTTACGTATAAAATTAAAATATTTCAAGGTCGTTGTAAAAAGTGGGTATACTACTAGGGATTGGACAGTATTCATCTGTTCTTGCCTTTATATTCTAAATACTTTGGAAAAACTAACATCCACATACACGTGATTTTGTTTCTATTTTCTTGTTTAAACGTGCTTTTTTGGTCACTTCAGCATTTGAGTGTCATCTGAATATAATTTGTACCATAGCACATGATATAATATGTTTTTTTTAACGAGTCCATTTCTCTCTTTCATTTTTCCATTTTCACTGTTCAACGGACACAATCAATAGCGTTGGTCAAATCGGAAGCACTTAAGTGCTAGCAAGGTAAATGCATTTGTTTTTTTTTTTAGATTACTTGGCTAAAACTTCATCTTTGTAGCAAAACCAAATGTTTACATAATTGATATTTTCCAACCTTTACTTATAATGACTTTCTATAACAAATAAAGGAATAACTTTAAAATTTCATTAAAGAAGGGCATGACCAGATGTTTGAACCGAACATGTTTGAGAGGTGATATTTTACACATACCATCCATGTTAGAATTTTACAGTGCATTAAGCTTGGATTATTTAAAGAGTAGCATGGTTAGCTTTAGTCCTTAGGAATTCATTTGCTATTAGATGGAAAATACCATTAGTGTTATATTAACAATACAAAGACTGAGGAGAATATATGTCTTCTTTTTAATCTTCTGAAAAGGGGTATTTATAATTTTTTTATTTGCTTAGAATTCTTTAAAGATTTCATGCAGTACTGGTGAGTTTCTATATGGTTAGCATATAGCTTAATCAATTAAACTGGTGTCTATATAAAAGTACAAGTATACCAAGGTTGGAGTGTTTTCTTACTTTAATAATTTACCTAGTTATTATACAATCAAGTCAGAACTTAGGTGACTAAATGTGAAAGAAATTCTAGAAATAAACAAAACCCAGAAAGATTTATAGCTTAATATAGCAGCTATGTTGTTGTAAAAGAGAAATAACCAACAAAAATGATATAAAATAATGTACTGTTTCAGGCTACGTGTCCAGTTAGGTTTCTGATTGGTGTGTGGTGTATGTGTGGAGTGCATAAGCAGCCCCTGTGTAGCATGTATACTGTGTACAAGCTAACACATATGTATATATGTATGTCCAATGCTAATTTTTAACCTTGTTATACTTCCAGTTGCCTGTTTTTCTGTAAAATGAGGAATTTCAAACTGGCTAAACTTCCAGCTGATAAATTTTGTGACATGTACGTGTGAGGGTGTGAGTTTGAATTAAAATCTCTTGCTTTTGGAAGTCCAAAGGCACCAAAGTTCTAATGCATACCTGCTAAAACGTATATGCTTTGCATTTTGAACACTTTTAAAAATAACTATGAAAAGGTAATTTGTTACCATACAAGTTCACTTGGTTCCTGAGACAGTGGTTCTTTGTAGAAACAGAATTAAAAGAGGATAAATAATAGTATGCTCCTGTTTCAAAAATTCCTCCAGCTTTTGCTTTATTCCTTTATAGTCACTAGAGGGTAGAAGAACATCATCTCTCACCACAGAAGGGAGTGCATCCCTTGCTCTCCGATATTAAGAGTTTCTGTAACCACCCAAAGCAGTAAAGTTTCCCAGAATGCTTTGGTGAAACCTGACAAAGCAGTATTTTCTCGTTTATTGATTCTGCGGCTGCACTAAAACCCTGGTACTGTACATCAATAACCGTCTTTATTTAGGGAGCTTCGGTCTGTGGAAGAGCACTGGCAGTTTGTGGAAGAACATAAAGGCGAGAAAGAAAAATTGTGAGCTTGGGGAATATTGGAGTCTAGGGAGGATAGCAGAGGTTATGGAAGAATGGCCAGAGAGGTAGAAAAAATGTTGACGGCTTGGATAAAGACATCAAAAATATGAAGGAAACAGAGGATCCGGAGAGCTGTATTTAGTGCTATATATATATCTCAGAGTTGTGTCTTGGAACTGAGATGCCGCTGGCCCCAGTCATGGTAGTTTCTAGAATTTTAACTTCAGTGTACTGAACTCAGGAATGTTATATTTGCTTAGTAATGTTCACCAAATGCTATCTTGGTCTCATTTGTTACCTTCAAGTGCTATCTTGGTGAAGACTTTTCATAACTGTGTTACATTTTTTGCTTCTGAGAACATGCAGTTATATAGAGCAAAATGAGATAACTTCTCATTGGGCTTATGAAAAATAAAATCACATGGAAACTCCAGAGAGACTTTGATGAACACTCTGCAAAAGTGGTTAAAATACCCTGCGCACCTCATCTTTTGGTATTTTTAAACTGGAAGTTTCAATTTAGCATTTTTATATTGTATTTAATATTATGTTTGGCACACTTAGCTATGAGTAGCAAAATTTTACGAGTTCTAATGTAATATATTACCTACAAAATGCCATTAACTTTCTGCTTCAGTCTGATTCTTATAATAATAATTTTATTTACAAAATTACTTCTTTTCCTTTTACGTTTATCGTTTTGTATCATCCCAAATATTCCTGAATGGCAGAATTTTTATGGTCTTCTAAACTATTTCCTTTCTATTTCCCCTATACTTCAATATAGCAAATACACAGAGATTGCCTTTAAAACTTAGTTCATAACCAAAGCCTTTAAAAATAAGCATTTTAATGAGAATCAGGCATGTGATTTCGTGGAGGCCAGATTAACACCTTATTATCTTTATATATTTGTTACCCATAATCTTTAGTGGGACTTGGTCTGTTTCTAAACCTTACTTCTTTTTATTGTAATCTTTCTAACAGCTGTAGAAATGAAAATGAACAGAAGTTGCTTCTCATAGCAGTCTGATGCGGGAAGGAAAAAACAGTTATAAAAATGGAATTATGAAACCACTGATTGTATTCAGGAATTTGCATGCATCACACACACACACACACACACACACACACACACACACACACACACACACACTCCTGCCATCACTTGGGTCTTCAGAGGTGCTATCTGTGTACACAATGGCTTCTTCAATGTTTGCTGAGATGAGTCCATCCCACGGCAGAGTCCCTCTTCTCTTCTGACCAGCTGTTCTACACATTTCTATGTCAGCAATCTAAGAGAACAGACATGACTTATATTAGCGTTACTTTTTTGTGTGTATGAAAGTATTTGAGTAGTGGTGCCAATTTTTGGCCTATTTGGTTTGATATATATATATATATTTAAAATTTCAGTTTCTGTATGTTACTGCAGAGGCTGACCTTAGTACACTATGTTTCTAGGGCTCTAGATCAAAGCCGGTTGGCTTCCAACTGGCTTCATACAGGGAGAGGAATTAGCTCAGGCTAGTTTCATGTGGAAAAACTTAAATTGAAAGAGGACAGTTAAAGAAATTAGAAGAAAGCTCGATCATTCATCCATCCACCACCCTCCTGCTGCTACCATCTGTCTGTTTATCCATTTATCTCTCTGTCTGTCCATTCATCAATCAACCCATTGATCTATCCATCCATCCACCTATCCATCCATCCATCCATCCATCCATCCATCCATCCATCCATCCATCTAGCTATCTGTCTGTCTCTCTTCCTGTCTGTCTGTCTGTCTCTCATCTTTGGTGAACTGATGTATGGCCAGAAGCCGAGTGACAACCAAAGAGTTTTATGATTGCTATGTCTAGTAAAATAGGTTGAGTCAGAAAAGGAACTGGTCAATGAGGAATAGATATCTGACCACATATTTCCAGATGAGTACCTTTCTCACAGCACCTCTTTCAGTAATGGAACTCTCGAATCTTACTTCTGTGTAGTTCCAGGAAGTAGTGTAGGAAAAACCCTTTTGCAAGAGGAGGTATGGGCCATATGTGGAAATAAAGGGCGGACATTGTTCATGGAAAGCTTCCTAATGAAAAGAGTGATTTCTGTTTGTTTTTCATTTTCACATATTCTTAATTTAAATGTCTTCTCATAGAAACACTGTTTATCTTTTTATTTTCTTGGTTAAACTCAAAGACTTGGAGAATTGTATACTTTAACAGTAGCATATGAGGCTTGATAGAAAAACACAATGAATATTTAAAATAAATCTATTTTGCTTTAGCAAGAGGTGCATTTCTAATTCCCCTCAAACTACTCCCCCTCACTTCAGACACATTTATCCCATCATTCTTGCCACTTTCTGAAGCAGTTCTGGCAGTCCTCTTTTGTGTCTTTACTTACTTCTCTTGGCTACCTCAATGTCCTTAATAGTTTCAAAACATTTAACTTTCATGGTCATTTTGGCTTTGGAGAAGAGTCAGAATTTGCATGGTGGCAGATCTGGTGAATAATGTGGATCAGACCACACAGTCTTGCCCCAAATCTCTCACTGAGCATAAAGTCTTGCCTTATAGTGAGAATACTGTCCTTGACTACGAAGATAAAGTAGAGGCATCAGAATAAATGAACTGGGGGGAGACTTGAGAACTGGAGTTCTGGGGTACTCAGAGGTGCAGGGAGAGCCTTGTCCTGCCCTGTAGATGGGTAGGTGGGTGAATGCTTGGCATAGGAGAGCATTCAGGGAAGATAGGAAGGACTAATACCAAATAAAGACAACTAACTGAGTGGAGCCATGGTATTATAAGTAATGCGGAAAAGGTAATGTTCTAAACTACTTGCTACAGGGCACCAAACAATTTGTTTTCAAAGTATGTTCCCTGGACTGGCCACAGCTGAAAATTGTTAGAAATGAAACTTACTGACTCTTATCTTAGACTTCTTGAGTCAAGAACTCTGGAAAAATGGCCAGGCATAGTGATATATGTCTGTAATCCTTTCACTGTGGGAGGCTGAGGCAGGAGGATCAAAAGTTTGAGCTCAGCCAGGGCAATTTAGTGATTTAGCAATTCCCTGTCTCAAAATTAAAAAATAACGCTAGGTGTGATTGTGGACAAGAAGATTGCAAGTTCAAGCCCAGCCTTGGCAACTTAGTGATTTAGCAAGAGCCTGTCTCAAAAGATAAAATCAGACAATAGAACAGGGAATTCTGAAGACATAGGTCAGTGTGGAGGCCCTGGAGTCAATCCTCAGTATTGCAAAATAAAACAGAGGCAAAAATAAATAAATAAATAAATAAACACCCTGCGAAAGACCCGACAGTCTTTTGCCCTTCAGGTGGTTCCGAAGCCCATTCATATTTGAGAACCGTGGGCTTGGACTAAAGAATGCAGTGGGATGCTGGCAAGAGTAGAGACAGAAGCAAGGGCTGGCCTTGTGGGTCAGGAGCTGTGGCTGCTGTAGGGATTCGGGCTGGGGTCAGGGTGTGACAAGGCGATTGCCAGGGTGCGAAATATTACAATCCACTTGGGCTCAGGTGTCAGCCC